TGGGAGCAGGTTGTTTGGGAGCAGGTTGTTTGGGAGCAGGTTGTTTGGGAGCAGGTTGTTTGGGAGCAGGTTGTTTGGGAGCAGGTTGTTTGGGATCGGCTTTCTTTCGTCGCGTCATCTTGGGGCTCAACTAAACCGGTCTGCAGTGGGGTGACAGCAAGAAACGTCGGTTTAGAGAATACGGAGGTACAAGGATGGATATGTTCAGCGAGCCCGAGGCGCTGAAATTGTACAACCGCACAGACTGGTTCGACTACGTTGTTGTGATGCTATTGTTGCTGAGTTTTGTGATGAGGTGTCGAGGCATTGATTGTGATAAGCCAAATCAGTGTTGAGGCTTGTGCAGTCCGCTGGAGAGACTTTAGATGACATTGGAAGAGTCGCGGACACTATTCATAATGATGGGAGTAGTTTATTTCAACGGCTGTGGGCAGACGCGTCAATGCCCCATTTTGTGATGAGGGTGTGGCTGCACTCACCATGGACTCTCGGCATACTTTCCTCTGGTTCTTCACGCGGGATTGGGGTAGGTCGGCCAGTAGGTGACGATAGCAGGAACCCAGTTACTCGCCTCGCCGTCCGCTGACAGGACCTCTGTTGTCCTATTATCATCGTTAAGTACAGTCGAGGTTCTACCATTAGGTTCAAGATAGATGGCCCGGATATCATAAAGTAACCGCACGGGGCAAATTCGAAACTTGGGCTAACCATCACTGGCACGCTGTATCTATTATTGTCCTCGACCCGTCTACGTCCTTTGCCTCTTTCCCTCCTTCTCCGTCCCCCCCTTGACTTCCTTGATTTGTCTCTCTGTATGTTGATTTATATTCTGGAGCTTAAGGCGAAGTATGATTTTTGGTTGGCTTACCCGCAGTCGTATACGAGGACCATTCGAGCTGCAATTACGATCCTCTGCTTGACGCCCAGCTCCTTCCCTCTGTCGTACATCCGCTAGAGGTGGACTGTTGTATATATCCATCAACGGCTCTGCGAGATCGGCATGTCGGTCGCCTTCAGCATCAGTCACTGTTATTCCGTTCAATTCGCTGAATGCATCTTTTGGCGACGAGGAAGGCGGAGGCGAAGGCGAGTGGAGATACTGATCGAATAGCGTATCGAAATTTGAATCGTCATCGGCGTCTGCTGGCAGCACTCTAAAATCCGAGATCTCTTTGACGCTTAATGCTTCACCACTGTCCGCGCTGGGAATGCTGGCAGGAGAGATGGCTGAAGAATGTGCAGAGAGGAATTCAGAGAACAGGTGGTCGTGGCTGGGACAGGGTAAGGAACTGTCCTCCATAGACCAATTCTCGTCAGTGCGCCAACTCGGGTCACGAAAAATATCAATCGGATCGCACTGGAACTCTGCATCGCCGAGAGTAAACAGTGTGGAATTATTTGCCCAAGGGAAAAGCGGAGTGTCCGAGTCGTCGTCAGCCGGAACGTCAGTTTGGTCGACAATTGACAGAAGTGGAGGGAAAATTGTTGGACTTGTGAAGCAAACCTTCTTGCGGAGGCTGAGGGGAACAGGTGTCGAATGCTCATCATGAATAGGTGGCGGAACGTACTCGGCAGAATCTCGTCCGAGGGTGTCATCGCTGCTCGAAACCTTCCGCTTACGAGTCAATAGGGTGGGCTCATTCGTAACACTCGAAGATTCGTCCTGTTGGCGTGGTTCGGAGAGGTCGATACTCGCAGATTGGCGGGGTTGTGTCAGGTTCAGGTAATGGTTGTCGATGGGGAGAGGCCGTCGAGGGCGACGTGGTCTCCCTCTGGGTCTCCCTCTGGGTCTCCCTCGGGGTCGCTCCCTGGCTTGCTTCGGCTGATGTTTCTGTGGCCCAGAGGCCATTGCTTTCTTAACGGCTGGAGTCGAATTGGGGGCATCATTCGTTACAGGAGAATGAACTTGCTTTTCCTCCCTAGTCCACCAATTGGCCGGCAAGGGCGGAATCTCAATGGTTATATTGGCTTGCCTCTTGACCCCGCTTGCTGGTGGTCGAACATCGGTCTCTGGGAGGTCAGGATTCTCTGCTTCCTTTGGGACAGAATCCATGGCCCGCTCAGAGATTCGTCCCTTCTTTCCGTTTGCCGTTGCTGGTAACCGAAGGATAACGACTGCTTGAAGTCTTTTTCGCCCTGAACAGCCGTGCCTTGCTCGTGGAGTTGTTTTCTGGGACGAGCTGCATTGGGGAACGTCAACCACACAATTTTGGGTGAGTTTGGAAGGCTCCTTGATCGGGTGTGCATCTTCCCCTACAGACTTATCCTGAACGGCCGCCTGTTGAAGAGCACGATCATGAAAGATGATCTCATTGCACCCTGCCACAGGCGTACCCACTTTATCTCCCTCAGGGGGATCATGGCCGTCAAGTTGTTCCACCCTGGTGATCTTTGGGGGTTCACTTTTGTGACAACACTGAACCTTCAACGCAGCGTGAGGTCTCCGAGTGTCGAGACCGCCAAGCTGTCGTTTTATGGAGCGCGACGTGTGATTTATGAAGCCATCTCCCTTCGGCTGGAGTCTCGTCCGACGTTTCGAAACATGCCGCGGTGCTGGCGTCTTTGGACGCGGTTCTTTTAATGTTTGGCGTCGTGCCACCTGCTCCCTTTCGGCGACGCTGAACGGTATCTGGTGAATGTCAGCAAAATGTAGAAAGAGTTGATCCAAGTTGTCGAGTTGTTCGAACTTCCTGCAGCGCGGATGGCGGCAATGCCTCGGACCGTGCTCGCGAAGGCTCAGGTGGCAAAGGACGTGCCTTTTCCATTCGGTCACGTTCGTGTACTGGTGGAACCGGTCTTCGGGGTCGGCATCCTCGTCACCGAGACATTCGGGACAAAAGGCTGGCCGAAGGAGATTGTGACGAAAATGGACCACGTTACATTTCAGCGGCAGTAGGCCTAGTCCTCCATTGAGTCGCAGGTGTTCAGCCGTGTGACGTCTCCAGGATTCCTGGCTGCCAAACCATTGGAAACACAGGAAACAGAATTCTTGATAACGGCCATCCCCTTGGGCCGCGGCTTTTCGACAGCGGTACACATGTGTCCACCATACTGCTGGGTTGGGTCTGTCCTCAAAGTTAACCGCGTTGAAGAGATATGATTAAGATCAACTGGCCACATACCCCCTGCGCGGTTGACGACAACTATCGCATTCGTCAAATGAACTGTTGAGCCCTTGGCAGTGCGTCTGTGACTTTTTCGCTTGAAGGAGTCGGACCAGGTCGTCCATGATCGTCATGCCAACCTCGTCACGGAGACTCCCTTCTTTAAACAGGTTCTCGGCCAGCCGGTCACGCTCGGGCATCAGCTTCCTGGTGTGTACAAAGTCCGATTCGTATGGAAAGTCCTCTGACGTCCATGGCTCTGCTTGTGAGGAGGTTTGGTGCTCCTGTACGGCCCAATCTCGCGCCTGACGTCTCCGATCGTAGAGCTTCTGTCGCTCCTTTATGTCACATTCGTCGATCGACGAAGTAGCCTTCTTGTCAGCCGTGGCCGGTGCCGACTCTTCAAGCTGCCGTCTTCGATGTTCCGGGAGCGCCGGCCGGTGGTTATAGTTTCGACGCAATGAGTACCCGCGAAACAGCTCGTGGATCCGCATATTCTGGCGATCAAGCTCGAAAAATGTCGCTTGGCCATCAACCATACTAATGCGAGGCTGGTAGGCCGCAGGGTAGGTGCCCTGATTCCGATGGGCGCCGAACCGCATGCGTTCATTGATAGAATATCCGTAGTCTGGTCTGTCAGCCCCGACGCTTCTGCGTGGCGAATAGAATGGTCACACTTACTATCCACCTTCAACAGCGCCTCTCGACGGGAAGCGTGAAATGTGAGGCTTTCCCGGAAGCCTGTCCGATAGCCGATATCCACGAGACCGTGGCTGGCGAGAGAGGATGAAGTCAGCGTGTCGTCGACCGACCCGTTCGCGTAACAGCGTGGGAAAATTGGCATGTCCAGACAGCGGTCTTCGTAGTTGAGAAGACGATGATCTCGTCCTCGGGGCTTGCTCATGGAGCAAATGTCGGCCCATGTTTTGTAGTATCGCAGCGCGCCGACCGAGAGAGCGCGGGCCATAAAAAATAGCACGCCGTTGTAGTAGAACGGTTGGTTGACCAACTCGTAGAGCAAATGCTCCGGCCTAGAACCGTCAATATCGAGAGACCCTCCCCCAAACATAGTAGCCACGTACTGTTCTCGAGGCAAATCTTGAAGGCCCTTCGCCTTATCTCGCCGTAGATCAAGCACGATCTGTGGCTGTGTCGTCATCCAGACCTGAGCAACGGTAATATCCTAAAGAACACAGTCAACTTATTTCGTCAATATGCTGGCGGAGGGGTCGGTTGCCTACACGGAAACGCAGATTCTTTTCGAATTCGCCGGCGCGCCCAGATGTTCCACAGTGGAGAAGCTGAAGGAAGTGCAATCCCCACCGGTACAGTTCGTGGTAGTAG